TTAAAATATATGGAAAAAATAAATACAAACAAAAAGCTGGTTAATTAAAAGATTGAGTTAAATAGGTATAAATAATTACTGCTGTGATTAAGATAATTTCATTACCGTTCGTTCTAGTTGTCGAAAAATGATTGGGGATTCAACTGGGAATTAGGTATTGTCACAACCTTGATACAGCCTAGATTTTGCTCTCTTTGGCCTTTTTTGTTTTCAAAATTTAAAACCATTTGAATGGGAGTCGTAATAAGAGTTAACTGATTTTTATAAAAGAGAATTATTATAAATAGGTATATGTTGTCTTTCTGCTAATTAGTTGATATATCTATGTATATTTTAACTATTATTTAGTTCTATTGCTTATATGAAATTTTACAATAATGATACTTATTTTTCAATAAAAAAATATCGTATTACGCTATCTTTTTAACAAATACTATTTGTATAAATAAGCTTGGACATTTAATTATCTAGAGAATATTAAAAATAATGGACTTTCTTCTTATTTTTGTGATAATTATTGTAAAGTAATTACTGCAAATTAGTTATTAGTTTCTGCCATTAGCGCAACTAATTTATCTGTTAATTTTTAAGGCCGACTCCTTTTTTTTAAACAAGAAATGCAGAAAATGCAAAAAGCGTCTTCTACGTCACGCTACTATTATAGATAATGACAGTTAAAAACTATCCAATACACATATTTATAATTATTTGCGAAACGTCCTTGCAATCTGGACTTTAAAAAAGACTAATGAAGTTTCCAGGATGATAACAAGCAATTGGCGTAATCAGGTCGGTAACAACAGTTTTTTTCACATTTATTCAAATTACACTGCAATACAGTCATTAAATATCATGTTTGCTATATTTTCGGTTATAATTTAATTTCTCATGTTATAGCAATATTAGAATATTGGCTCCAATATATCATATATTTCCAGGAATTTGAATATCCTGCACAAAGTAATAGTAGGATCTTAGTGCCTATATCACTGATCTGTAATCCGATCAGTGGCCTATTAGGCATTCCAACGAACTGTCAAAATGCTGACAAGTGGGAACTGACCATTGTTGTTCTTGGACCAAAAAAAATCGTAATAGACAGGCGCACTAAAACGTAATAAATTTCAGTATAAGATAATAGATTTCAGTAAAAGGTACTAAATGTCATTTTAGGATTGGATTTCTTTACATTTCGGCGCATGCGCACATTTCAATGGATTTTTCAGACCTAATCGAAACTGCTTAAGCATGCGCCATTTAAAGATAGTAATATTTTTAAATTGTGCTCACTGGAAATGTAATTAATAATTGTGCACGAGGGTGAATCTACTAAGGCATTTTTCTTGAATGAATAGTAATAGATTTAATGACAAGAACAACCCTGGAACTAACAGTTTAGGTATGGCAACCCTGTCGGCCTTTTGGCATTGATAGAGTTAATGATACATATATAACTATATAGATTGCTCAAAGTGAGACGTTTTCGAGTGGCCATATTGCCTCGCAAGTGCTCATTAATCAGAATCGGTTTAGCAAAAATGTGTCTACAAACCAATTTTCAACCTTTGAATATAATAAAAAAATTATAACCTTTATTTGTACTTCAAGACATAATCTTATGTTAATTTTGAAAAATATGGATGATAAATCTACATAACTATCTATTTTATTGACCCTGTCAAATCACTAGAGGGTTGCCTAAAGGGTTGCCAAAACCTACGTAGCAATTTTGTTGGAATGCCTAATACCAATATTTTTTAATTAAAAATTAATCTGTCAACTGTCGTTGAGTTCACTCAATAGTGGATGGAGTGGGATAGAGTGCGTTAAGTAAGCGGTCGGACCGGTCGAAACTGTCTAGCGAAAGAGAAAACCGACCAACATGACCAGTCATGACTAATCAGCTGATCGGTCAGAGTCAGTCAGAACGGTCGAGAAATTGAGTTTGACTTGGTTAGTCACAACTATCTAGTGAATGGGCAAATGTCAATTCATGTTTTTATTTCATTTAAACATACAAGAAATTAATAGTTATGGATAAACTAATGTTGTTGAAAACCAATTTAATACATGAAACGGGAAAACCAAATATTATGTAATATTATTACGGGATTAGTCACCAGTTACTCTAAAATAGGCGGAAAAGCTACACTTACAAGAATATTTCCTATTCAAGATGCTAATGCTTGAACTTACACTTTCAAAAGAATTATATTTATCAATGAAGTTTCATCATCAGTTTGAAAAGCCAACTGACAAGTAGCCATAATAAGTTTATTTCTGTTTCTGCTGTTCACATTATTTTTTTTAAATGCCTTCTAATTGAGTTTACCGCATTCTTTAGAACTGTCGATGTGTTGAGGGACGAGGGACTCACAAAACACAGGAGGGACTGCCTGGTCTTGTAATTTTAATCAAGAATTTTACAAATTAGGACTAGACAGTTTCGACTACATCGCCTAGCGAGCGGTCTGACCATACCAATCAAGTTGACCGTTGACTTAATGCAACCATAATACCAATGGGATGTTGTCAATAGGACTAGGTGCGACTCTAGGAGCCATTTTTATTATACATCTCACTTAGAAGTATTTGTAACGTGTGGAGGGTGGATTAAACCACGGCACTTAGGCTCCACTAGGCCCATTGAGCATCTCCTTAAGTAGATAGGCACCTCCTAGCTCGTGAGCCAGCATGCAGATTTAATCCCTTATATCGGCCGGTGTTAGCCAATACTCTCCGAACACAAATCTTCTAATAAATAAGAACATCAGGCAATCGTAGAGGATATGCTCGATGGTCTTATCTTCTTGTTCGCACCTGCAGTGTGCGGATCATGACAGCCCCATGATATGGAGATGCTTCCGTACTTGGCAATGACCAGTCAGAATGCCAGAGTGATCAGGCGCAGATTCTGTCTAGTTATAGTCCCTGGCTAGTCTGCAGCTTCTTGTTTCATCCCATCTTTCCTTGAATTTCCCAAGGAAATGTTCTTTAATTAGGTTTGTCACTACCGATGTTGTCAATTCAATAGAAGGGCCAGGTCCAAAAAGTAGTTGGTTGGCTGCCTTCTTGGCTAGTGAATCAGCAAGATGGTTACCTTTCGATATGAAGTGACCTTTGATCCATCTTAAGTTGACCACATGGTTGATGGGTACTTTGGCTAATGTTTCGTGACATTTTAGTACTAACCCTGAGTAAATTCGTGGTCTGTTCAGGGTGAGTAGTGCTTGTTTGCTATTTGTATAGATAAGCATGTTTCTTCCAGTGATATTATTTAGGGTGACTTCTTTTGCTGCTATGAGAATCCCTGGGAGCATATCAAGCCTTCCTGCAAAAAGTGACGTCTTGTCTCACCAGATCCTACATCAGGTTCTATTCCAACCGTGCAGGTGTGTCATTGTCATCAGAATAACCTCCTTGATCTAAATATCAAGGGGAGTGAGACTAAGAATGACTTCAATGGCTCTGGTCGGTGTGGATTTCATGAGACAATGACATGCTGTTTTTTGAAGTTGTTCTAGTTTGCGGATATCTGTAAATTTTTGGGTTTTTGGTAACCAGACAACTGCACAGTATGTTACTATAGGTCTTACGATGGCCGTGTAAGTCCATGCAACGACTCTGGGGGAGAGACCTCAGATGCGCCATACGATTCGACGGCATTGCTCATAAGCAATGCATTCTTTTTTATATAATAATAATTTTCTGTTTCAGAGTTATTGTCTGATCCAGAAACTGGTGGATCAGAAAGTGAAGTGGAAAATAGTTATTATAATTACTCCTGAGTGAGATGAAAAATAAAATGGCTGCGCGTTATATGTCGCATCTCAATCCAATTGACAGACATTCTACCCCACTCCAATTTGTTGAGTTCATCACATTCTTGTGTTTATGAGAATGTCAAAATTACGGAAAATCTTAATAAAAATTCTAAGAATGCTTAAAAAAAAGAAAAATGATTTTAAACATTTTGACTTTGAAAGTGAACAGAAACAAGTCAATGGACTCTGAGGATGATACTTAATGACTATTCAGCATTTTGATTTATAGGGTTGTTTTTCTTATTTTTGACAAATATTTATTCCATTATTTAATGTCAGCTTATTTGTAACTTCGCCTGTGAGTACCTTAACCAGAAATTTTGTAGACCCCTCTGATGCCACCATCGGGGAGAGGAATCTATAATAACCCTAATATCAATGTTTTCAGGATTTGCGCTTTATTTATCATATTTTATTAGAATATCCCATTGTAAATTTGAGCTGGATGTCCTATTAAAAGCCTTGATTGTAGATATAACAAGAGAATGAAGGTTTACAGAAATTAAGTTCTGGAGAATCGCAGAACGATCAAGATGACAGGTTTGTTTTGGTTTGAACGGAAGCGACCATTTCAATTCTCAAATACAGTTGACAAATTCATTTTTCAAGAACACGTCGCGTATTTATTAGAATATATTGATGAGACCGAATGTTATTTCCGATTTTTATCTAGTTTCTGAAATAATCAAAACAAGAAGGAATGTAAGTCACCTAAAACAAATCTTAAAATGGTCCTTCATCAGGAAGAGAAAATCAAGAAGTTATAAACGGCAGAGATAAGCCCATGTAGATTAATAAACATCGGCAGTAACAGACATCGATGAAGATAGGTGGTCGGAAGGAGTCGGAGAACATTAATTTTATTTAAAATGTACTTGTATAACTGGACAAACGAATCAGAAATGTAGCTGAATTAAGAGTAGTAAAGTGGCAAGAGATGAACCAATTAATAAAAGATGGTAAAGCGTAGAGAGAAATATGAAAAACAGCTAACATAACCTCAACTCCATTCACATTTTTATTAAATAAAGTTATTTTGATAAAAATCTCAGATATCCATAATACAAAATCGTCAAATTTAATAACCTTCATGATTACGCCAAATCGATAATGAATGAGAAACGAAATATTAAAGGAAACGAGAAGTTAATGCTGTTAGTAAAAGTGTTAGTATACCTGGATGACATGCTTCCAGTTAGATACCTGGTTGCAATGACCGCACCGGAAGGGCGCTGTACCGCCTCCCTTCCCGCCATTTATGTTATTTACACTTGCCTCATCTCTATCAGGACTCGTACCCCTTAAACTCAAATCCTGCGCTACGTCCGCCTGATGATGGTGGATGCTCGAAATGCCTCCGCCGCTCGTAGAAGCTCGATCAGATACTGATGTTGGTATTTCGTGGTGCGACGACACCGGTGTAAGAGGTTGTTGTTGGTAGTGGCCTTTTACGTGTTGCAATAGGATGTCTCTGGAGGCATGTCTGAAAGTTATTGAAATTATTTTTTAACAGTTAAAATATTCAGAACTCCTAAATAAAACACATTAATAATTAAAACTTTGTATACCTATATAAAAATTTACAAGCATTCAGTTAATATTTTCAACCTAATCAATCATTTTATAGAAATAGATATATTTTGTCAACAATGAGATCATAAAGCCCAAACTTGTCCGTGCTTGTCTGTCTTTCTCTATAAAGAGAAAATTTTTGTATATTCAAAGCTTTATTATAAAGTAAAATCTCATTTTAAGACTGTTACAAACATTTTTTACCAGATACTACAGTTACAATTTTTATGGTCCATCCCTTATAAATAATGTATCGTAATAGTGTATAGTTAACATAAGAACAACAATATATTTCATTATTCAATATGTTGCTTGCATTACCTGATTTAATAATCTCACATAAAATAAAAATTATGTTTCAATTACATAAATAATAAAATAAATTCAATGCCAACCCTGGCAAATGCAGGAATTCAGTTTAACGTATTTTAAATTTCCAAGAAACATAAACAAAACAAAAACACTTGCCAGCAGTCAGAAACCCGTGTGAAATATAGCTTTCTCACTTTGTGAAAAATCCCGATTATATAAATATAAGCTCCGATTCGTTCCCACTTACAGAGCTATTTCACTCGCACCTGCATAAGCACGTTTAAAATAAATCGTTAAAAATAAATATATACATTTATTAAATAGTTATAACACATCACTCTCTACACCAATAGTGATTAAGAAAACTGCAGAGATTATCATGCCGAACATACAGGCAGCCTCTACTTTGAACGTCGTTTTCAACCACTACGAAGAAAGTGAAACTTAGATCTTTTAGTGGGACATTGGCACTGATACATAGATCATATCATATGATAAGAAAAAAAAATTATTTTGGCACTCAGATCACTTAGCCCGACTACTCCTCATACGGAGGAGTAGATAACATCACATCCAGAAGGATGGCTCAGCTATTATCTACGAGAACTGCAGAGTCACAGATAGGATAGGACACCATCTCCATCTGAGGATGTCCACAAGGAGTAGTTCTATAACCACTAATGTGGAGCCTAATCGTAGACTTCTATGCAGATTGACTGACCTCGGCATACCCTGTCAAGCTTATGCCGACGACATAGTCATATTTGCTAGGACGAGGACTAGAACATACCAAAAGATGGTGCCATGAAGTGGGAATTAGTATAAACCCTACAAAAACAATACTTAATCTCAAAACCGTTAAATTAGACGGGATAGATATAGAATGGAAAAATGAAGTCAAATATCTAGGCCTAACCCTGGACAAAACTTCTCTCGAACACACATGAGAAGGAAGTAGTAAAAAAGACCACAAAAGCCCTAATGGTATGCAGAAACATTGCAGGTAAACGATGGGGATGTAACTGCAATAGTGAGACCAATCATCACTTACGGGGCTATAGCCTGGAGTAACAGAACTAGTTTAGCTACTACGAGAGCTAATATCTCAAAAGTACAAAGACTAGCCTGTGTTTGCATTACTGGTGCAATGAGAACCTATCCTACGGCCGCAATGGAGGTGATCTTAAACCTCACCCCTCTACATTTGATGATAGAGAATGTGGCAAAAAGGACACGATATAGAATGATCAGGAACGGAGTAATCAGACGAAAGTCTACTTCCTTCAGGATTAAAGATATCTGGGACATGCCCCAGGATGAAATGCTAAAGAAGTAGTTTTGTGAAAAACTTAAAAACCACAGAGGCTGGGTTGCAAGAAAGAATGGAGCCAAGAATCCATCGTGCTGTTCAGTGGTATACGGACGGTTCCAAAACCATAGAAGGAACTGGAATAGGAGTGTATGGGCCGAGAACTGAGCACTCCAAAAGCTTGGGAAAATACCCAAGCATCTTCCAGGCGGAAATTCACGCCATCGAAAAGTGTATCCAGTTTAACATCGAGAGAAACTATCATGGACAAGAGATTATCATCATGTTCGATAGTCAAGCAGCCATCAAAGCGCTGAGCTCTTTTGTAATCAGTTCAAAAATGGTCTGGAGATGCCTAGAACAATTGAATAAGCTAGGCGAGAAAAATAGAGTTACTCTCACTTGGGTCCCGGGACATAACGGAGTACAGGGTAACGAGATTGCAGATAGTCTTGCAAGGAAAGGGGCTCAAACACCCTTGGGAGGACCTGAGCCGTTCTGCGGTATCAGCAGTAACATAAAATATTAGGATTAAAAAAAGAATTGGGCAGTACAAGAACCGATAATTGGAACAATCTCTTGGGGCTGAGACAGGCCAAGATATTTCTGGGTGAATATAACCAGAAAAGATCGGAAGCCTGCATCTGCCTGAGCAAGAACAGACTACGTATTGTAACAGGGACCCTTACCGGGCATTGCCAACTAAAAGGTCACCTAAGTAAACTGAGAGTAGTAGAGGATAGTGAGTGCAGATTATGTGACGAGGAGGACGAAAGCTCCATTCGCATCCTAACTGAATGTGTAGCACTCCAGAATCCAAGGGCACTATATCTAGGAGGATATCAAATAGAAGAGGGAGATTTACCTAACTTGAAGCCACTTCAAATCCTACCCTTCCTTGAGAAAATAGGATTGGAAGGATCGTTATAGGCATTGAGACATTTCCTTAGTGCATTGGCGACAGAAGGAGGCATAATAGATCTTTTAGGTCGCAATGTATTAACACCCCATTCTCAACATAACATAACATAACATAACATGGCCCGACTACTCTAGATTTACGCTTGGATAAGAAAATTTTTTAAATAAAAGTTGCTTGTAATCTCATTTTCTATCATTTTTGTCATATACATAATTTTCCTAAATTGGTCCCTATTCGAGAAATTTTACAAAAACTGCAACATTCGAATTTTTACGAAAATTATTCAAATAAAAGTTGTTTGTGACGTAATTTTCTATAATTTTTCTCCTATAATGGACCGTATTCAAGATATTTGAGGGAAAGTGTACGTACATGTCAAAAACTGATAAAGATAAAACGACCAAATTTTAAACTTATGTTTTAATTCAACCTATAAAAACTACACAGGAAAGTCATAAAAAATGATATTGGATTTTTTAAAGAATATAGATTTTATATCGATTATGATCTTATACATTTTTTGCCAAATTTCATGTTTTTGCCACGAAAGCACGCAAAAAAAACAAATGTATATATTTTACATACAAACAGCGCACTTTGGTGGATTTTATCATAACAAAGTTGTAGAGGGCAAAATTTCCTATCGACCCTATCAAACAAAATTTCCAAAAACCATTCGTTTCCGCCGTTACAGCGCATGCGCGGAAAGTCAGAATCGTTTTTCAATAAATGATCATTCAATTATTGTCAAAAGTATCCGCTGTTATATAAAGAAGAGCAGTATTGCTTGAATTTCGAGAAAAAATATAAGTGTAAGGTCACACCTTAATAAACTGCTCACGGAATTAGTCGATACACCTAATTTTATCGCCATTTATAGGAAACTTATAGGAAAGTTCGTTATTTCTTGTATTATTGGTTTGATGTGATCTTCAGTAAAAACTCACTTTTCAGTGTTATACAGGGTGTAATGTAAACTTTTAACTGTCTGCACCTTTGTATCTGTAACGTGTGGTTTCTACCCCTTTGTCGACACACAAATGCTTGCAATTTCATCTTAGATTCAGAAAAAAATGCGTTTGAGCTATACAGTGTGGAAAAGCCAAATGGAATAAATTCATTATTTCGATTACTGTACATATTTATAGAAAATCCCGAAACACGTCAAATTTAAATTATAAATTGACATTCTTTAAAGTGAAAATGTGATCCCTACCTTCAACCCCCTTTGAGTAACAGTTACAACCCTTAATTTTTTAAATGGGAAGTATAGGCTTGTGATATATCGTTTGAAAGGTCTCTTCATTTTCTATCCAAAATAGTTATTATTTTTAAATTTATTGCAAAAATTAACATAAAAAAAATAAAATAACTGATAACCGAAATTTGTTACAATACACTCAATATGTAATATTTAATTGTTCATAACGTAAAAAATATGAATGTCAATGAAGTAGATGTTCAAAATGCTCACCGCGAATGTCTTGGCAACATCCTAATCTTGAATAAAAATGTCTTCTAACGTTAATTAACATATCAGGCGTGACCGATCTAATCGCAAGCATTATTCTTTCTCTTAATTCATCTAAATCACGTGGTTTAGTTTTGTAAACAATATTTTTCACATAGCCCCATAAAAAAAGTCTAATGGGGGTAAGATCAGGTGATCTTGCTGGTCATTCTATCGATCCTCGCCTCTCTATCCAGCGATTTGGAAATGTTAAGTTGAGGTACTGGCGGACATTGATTTGGTAATGTGGAAGGTGCTCCATCTTGCTGGAACCATATGGTATTTGCTGGAACTTGAGGGTTTCCTGGATCAGGAAATAAATTTGCCAAACTTGGCACCACATCATTTTGTAGTAGTGCTAAATAATTATCGCCATTCAAATTCCCCTCAATAAAAAGGGGACCAATAATATGGTTTTCAACAATCCCTGCCCAAACATTAACCTTTTGAGGGTATTGTGTATGGACCTCTCTCATCCAGTGAGGATTTTCCGTTGACCAGTAGCGGCAATTTTGACGATTAGTGCACTCATCAGTGCACTCATCAGAAAACATAACGTTTTCTAATTGGATGGTATTGTTATTCAACATTTCCATCATTTGTTCGCAAAAATTTGTTCTCCTATCAAAATCGTCTTCCATGAGTTCCTGAGTCGGTATCATTTTATAGGGATGCATTTTATTTTCATTTAATATGTTTAGTATCGATGTATGGCTGACATTAAATGTTGCAGATACTTGTCTACTCGATGTATGTGGGTTTTCCTCAAACTCAAGCATCATATCTAATTTGATATCATCACTCAGTGCATTGGCAGCTGGTTTCATCTGCTTTACATGTCCAAATTCGCTAAATTGC